TCTCTCTCTCTCTCTCTCTCTCTCTCTCTCTCACACACACACACACACACGCTCACACACTCACACACACATGCTCACACTCACACACTCTCTCACACTCTCTCACACACACACACACACACACATCATGTAATATCACAGGTCATAACTCCTGCCATGTCTCACATTTGACCTTTATTTGTGTTTGTAGTACTTAACATGATGCGCGCACACACACACACACACACACACACACACACACACACACACACACACACACACACATCTTTTCACTGTCAGTGAAAATCCTGTTGCTAACCAGTGGCTTTATAGTGTGTGTGTGTGTGTGTGTGTGTGTGTTTGGTTTTCCATTAATGTACAGAGATTATGTCCACTCTTCTTGTAATTACTGCTGCATGAGAGAGAGAAAGAGAGGAAAAAAGAGAGAATAACAAAGAGATGAACAGAGAGAGAGAGAGAGAGCAGAATGACTGCAGCAGAGATGGACAGATAGCAAGATAAAGTGAGAGAGAGGAAATGAAAGAGACTGACAGAGAAGGAGAAAGGGGCAGAAGAGATGGAGCAAAAGATGGACAGATAGATTCAGAGATAGAAAGAGAGAGACAGAGAGAACGGACACAGATGGAGTGAGACAGAATGTGAATGACAGGTAGAGATGGAGGGAGAGAAAGAAAAAGAGAGAAAAGTGATGGAGAGACAGGAAGAGGTAGAATTAGACAGATGGACAGAAAGAGAGAAAGAACAGAAAGAGACATAAAGAGAAGGATGAAGAGATAAAATGGTAGAGAGAGAAAGAAAAACAGAAAGACTGAAACATTAAGAAAATGGACATTGAGAGGAGGATGACAGCGGAGGTGGAGGGAGAGATGGACAGATAGAGGTTGACACTTTATCTCTGTTTGTCCATATTTTCCTCCTTTCAATGTCCATTCTCTCTTTCCTTCTTTCAGTCTGTCTCTCTACTATTTTTTCTCTCCATCATTCTCTTTCTTTCTCACTGTCCAGTCATCCACAGCTCTCTCTCCCTCTCTCTCTCTCTCTCCCTCTCTCTCTCTCTGTGTGTTTCTGTATATGCATCTGTCTCACTTTCGTTCCTTTTTTGTTTTCTGTCTTTGTAATCAGGATGGAGGGATGAAAGTGTGTGTGTGTGTGTGTGTGTGAGAGAGAGAGAGAGAGAGAGAGAGAGAGAGAGAGAGAGAGAGAGAGAGAGAGAG